ATGGTCTTCGACAATTAAACCATCATACCCGGATCAAAGATCGACGGCGTATGGTCTTCGACAATTAAACCATCATACCCGGATCAAAGATCGACGGCGTATGGTCTTCGACACCTGCTGAAAAATCCCTTACATTTCTCTCCATCTCTCTCTCTCTTTTTTCTCTTCTTTTTTTTTATATATAATATTATATAAATATAATATTATATATATTTTTAATGTTATATTATTATCATAATATTATACAATATACATATATTATATCATATAAATTATATTATATATATATAAATATATTATAATATGATTTGTATATAATATATAGTATATCATATAATATATAGATAATATATTATATAGTAATATGTAGATAGAAGGAGGATCGGGAGGATCGGGAGAAGCAAATCCCGATCGGGCTAGGACAGAGATCGGAGACGGGTAGGCTCACGCACGGGGTATTCGTCGGCGGCGGGATCACGGCGGAAGTCTGGCCGGCGGCGTGTCAGAGGTTGGGCTCGGCCGGAGCAGATAAGCAGATCAAGTGGACTTAAGGCACGGTGGCTTTGACGGCTGGAGTCGGATATGGAGGTGGCGAACCAGCGGGAGTTTGGCAGGAAAGGTTATGGTCGGCCGGCGACTTCAGCGGGTGCAGGTTGGTGGTGGATTCGGCCGGAGATGCGGGTGTAGGCCGGTGAGAATCGGCTAGGGCACGAGTTCAGACACTAAGGCAAGCGGCTTGAATCCTCGAGAACAAGAGGTATGTCGTCGGAACTTCCTGCCTGTAATTCTCTTGTCGTTTTGAGAGCGTAGATGTGTGTGTCTGTGAACCGAATGAGAGGTTTTTATGTCGTGAGGGGGCAGTTACAGGAGCGATCGTGGAACCGTCTGTGATGTCGGTGGGGAAGTCGGTGGTTTTGCCGGCAGTTACAGTCAACAGATGCAAGAGGAAGGTTGATTGAAATATTATGAAGAAAAAAACTTGGATGTGAAATGAACTAACAAAACTATTGAGATGTTAATTATCTGACATTTAAACTTGATTGAGTTGCAAACTTGTAATGAAAGATTCAAAGGGTTGACAGCAACTCAGCAAGTGATTGGGATGAGTACTTAGAGCGGGTTTGATATGTAATTACATTTCTTATTGGCCAACTCAAAATTATCAAGAGTTATATATGCTCTTTGACTTGTGTAAAAAGCACCCAATTGACTTATTTCAGATGTAAAATGTGTTATCCTTAGGAAGCTTAGGACTACCAGAAAGCATATGATGGAAATCCATTCCCTTCAAATGGATTCTAGATGCATGGTTGTCTAGATGACAGACTAATTGATCTGCCATGGACTTCAGAATTAGTAAGATGAAATTAATGCTTTGTGAATAAATACTCAGTCAAAGTAAGGTTACCCATTTCATATTATGATATTTTCCAACTTATGTGGTTGCTACTCCTATTTTAAATGCTTGCACTTCTTAAATATTTCCCATCATAATTGAATAATGCTAAATCATACCTTATAATAGAGGCATAATGATGATGATGAGCATTATGTTGTAAGCCTAATGCATCCCGTAGCCATTTAGCTGAAATGATTGCCTATTCTTAAAATGTTGTCTTTATTTCTTTAGTTTGTGTGTAGCTTTAACACTATTGTACAAATATCATCCCCAAATGATCTTAAGAGCATCAAAATTTAGAGTTTAACAATTTAATGATTTCTCTTGCTATAATCAATATTGCTCATAAAAGGGCGGCCTTCCAAGTACCAAGTTAGGAAAGTAGATGTATTAGATTTGACTTATGTTAAGAAAGGTAGAGTTAGACCTAAAATGACTTGGTTAGAAAATATTATAAATGGCCTTTCTTTATTAGATTTAGATGAACATTTGACTCTTAACAGAGCACAACGGAGAAAAAGAATTTATGTATCCGACCCCACATAGTGGGATAAAAGGCTTGTTGTTGTTGTAGAAATGTTAATTCATGTTTATGCATGACATTTTCCATCCTAAAAATGTTGAAGGTGATACTTGATTTTTCTTTCATATTTAATTAACGATTTTATGGCATCAAGTGCTGATAGAATGTTTATGAGTTTGAACTTTGATATGTCACCAAAAATCACCTTTATCGAGTACGAATCTTGGGGCATATTAAAATTATAACTTACAAAATTAAATTCATGACCATCCAAACTCTAATTTTAGCAACTTTATAGTCAAATTGAATATCTCGAGAAGACGAACCCAATGATACTAAAATCGGGTCAATCTGAGCCCAAATGGGTCCAAATCCAGGGATCAAAGCATATTTAAAACATTAAAACCATTAATTGGACAACCAAATGATATCCAAATATACATGATTATAGTTGAATTGAGCGGCTCGACAACACGAATCCAAAGAGCTCAAGATCTCTCAATTACGACATCATTAAGGTACTTAAATGTCGAGCAAATGATTTATGATTGAGGGAATCAATATGAGCCGTCTGATAAAGCACTCCGAATTTGTCATAGATTTTCTTCATATTTACAAAGTATGTCTCTATCAAAACTAATAATAGACCCCCACTCTCTATATGAGAGTGATTTTTTTGCTAGAAATTTGAGAGAGCTATGAGGCTTCTAAAGTTGTATCGTTGGTAAACTCCAATCGATGGACCACCATCAAACTTTAGCCTGGTCGCCAACCTCTGCCAACCCTCTACCTGCTGACCACCATCGGGCCTTTAACCAACAGTCGACCACCCTCGGACCTCCGCTCATCTGTCGAACCTTTGCCTGACCATTGATCGCCGACAGACCTCCGCCAAGCTGCTGGACCTTTGTCTGGCCATCGACCGCCGCAGGACCTCTGTTCAATATCCGACTGTCGCTTGACCTCCGCCGACCACCGACCGACGCTGGACCTAAGCCCGGTCGCTTGACAATCGTGGGATCTCCACTGGCCATCAACCTCTGTTGGATCTTCTTCCATCCGCTGCTACCATACTTCCAACCTCAATCGTCCGACCACGGTCATTATAAACTCTCGACTACCTACACGAAGTTTGACCGATTCTCCAAACTATTGTACTTTCACCGTCTCTAAGTTAAGGGATAAGTTAACCTTTGTAACTCACTCAAGTTATGTAGAATCTTCTCATATGGGCAAGGCTTCATTGCTTTTCCTTTTTTGGGTTTTCCACAAAGATTTTTTTGTGTTCCCTTGCTCTATCAACTATTTGTTTGTGCTGCATATTCATGTATCGTTAAGACAAAAAACTCTCATGTATCGTTAAGACAAAAAACTCTCACTCTACCGATGCGAATTTATCAGTCCGCAATAAACTTATGACACTATTCATATATATATGTGATGTGTGTTGTGGATAAGCTGTTAGGTAATTAGAATAGCATTAAGGCGGACTTAACAATTGCATTAACTTTTTGCTTGATTCCCTAGAGACTTTTTTAAGATTTTTATTTTCTTCAAACTATACATGTAGGACCTTTTTAAGGCTTTTTTGAGGTGAACGAAACAGAAACCCAGTTTTAAAACCTTTGTTTGGATTTTCAAAGTAATAGCATATAGAGGAGGATGCTTAACATTTTGACTTAGTAGATATTGCCTTCTTTGTATATGAGCATTCATTTTCTGCTTTACCTTTCCTGCAGATTTTTGACATCTCTATGTCGGACTTAGAAAAAACGCATTGAAAGTAGAGAAAATGAGCCTACGGAGGAAGCTTCAAGTGTGGAAGATGGGAATCGTCAACTACTTAGATGCACTGAAACTGCAAGAAAAACTTTGTTCTGATAGGAAAACTAATAAAATTCCAGACACAATTCTATCTCTTCAACATCCTCCAACATATACTCTTGGAAAGCGACGAACATATCATAATCTACTGGTTCCTGAAGCTGAACTTAAAACCATTGGCGCTGAGCTTCATTATACTGAGAGGGGTGGCGACATAACTTTTCATGGTCCAAGACAAGCTGTAATATATCCCATAATCTCTCTCAGGGATATAGGATTAGGCGCACGTAAGTACGTTGAAACTCTTGAATTAGCTATGATTGAATTGGCTTCTTTGTATGGTGTAAAGGCTCGACCAGGAATGAAGGGTGAGACTGGAGTGTGGGTAGGAGATAAGAAAATTGGTGCTGTAGGTGTGAAGATATCGTTGGGGATTACCTGCCATGGATTAGCCTTTAATATTGATCCAGATTTGAACTACTTTAAGCATATTGTGCCCTGTGGAATTGTAGATAAAGGGGTGACTTCCTTGAGAAGGGAGACAAGATTGGATCTTCCAGCTGATGAAGTAATTCAGGAGGAACTGGTTCAGTGCTTGGCACGGTTGCTTCAATATGGTGCAGTCCAGTGGGAGACAAGATGATTCATATTTGTTAGAAAGTATTGAAATAAGATGACACTCAGTTGTTGAGTTGATGAGATTTTGGCTTGAATCTGCAATATTTAGGCACGAAATTACAGTATTCATGTAGCTTATTATAGAACAAAATTTATAAATCTGGGACAGACTGAGCTTTGCTTCAGAAACCAACATGAATGTCATTTTCTTCATATAATATCACTTTTTCTTGCTTTCTATTATATGACTTAAGATTCTTTTTTGAGACAGCCTTCCTATTATTTTTTAGTTTACAAATGTTTAATTTTTTAAAAAAATTATATTAAAAAATTATGTTAAGAAGCAGTAATAAAACCGTACGACTTTTTCGCTACTTTCAAAAGCAACTTTCTATTACAAAATTTTTTTGTACTAAAAAGTTGATCTAGGCTTCGTTTGGAGCGATTTTTTCTATTGCTTCTTAAAACGGCTTTTTAGTTTAAAAATTAAAATATTTATACAAGAAACACTATTTTAAGAAGCAGTAAGAAATTATCACAAATAAAGCCTTAAATAGTAATAAAAGTCATCCCAAACGAAGCCTAAGATTCATCCTTTTCACCCTTTTATAATGGATAAATTCTACTTTTACTGTTGTTTAAACTTAGCATCAAAGGGGGATTATGTCATCACATCTTTCAAGTATGAGTTCCTCAAGGTTGAAAACGAGTAATCAAGCCTAACTTTGAATTCCTTTGATCCACACTTCATAAGGAAGACAATTCAGCTAAAAAACAATACTTCTAATTCCTCCAGTTATTCAGGTGCAATTGCAAATACCAAACCAGCATTAAAACAATCAAGTAATACAATGGCAACACAGATAGATAGCTGCTTCAGCTAAAAGACTAATTCCAAAATAACAAAATAGCAATGTAGTTACTAATATATTTGGAAACATAAAAAAAGGATCAAAATCCATGATTCACAAACCAACAAGTTTTCTATTCAAGTGCCCCTCAATGGTATGATGATCTTCACCATCATGGTCATGAAAAATATAAGTTAGAATTCCAACCAGGCACAGCACCGAACCTACTAGAAGCTTATCATAACGCTCCACCCAGTGAAACTTTATCTGGCTGGCCCCATAAAATGAAAGAGCTACCAGAGAGGTCATTACAGTAATTGTGCTGCAAATTCAGTAATGAGCAAACAAAGTATAAGCTTACCAGTGTCTAAAAGGAGAGAAAGTAGACCACATAAACTTCGAAAAAGACGGGTTTGGAAAAAAAATCATATAGATTTTGTTTGGGGCGGTTTTCTTAATGCTTCTTAAAGCAATTTTTTAGTGTAAAAATTAAAAATTTTGTACAAAAAAGCTGCTTTAAGAAACAACAAGAAAGTCGTCCCAAATGAAGCCATAGTTGTAACATATAAAGCGCAAGAAGCAACATAAACTTTACAGAGAAGGCATTTTGATTTTAGACTATCGGGAAATATAGTTTAGTTCTTCAGAGGGGGTGCAAGTCTGGTTGTTGTTTTGCCAAATAAACATCAGGCTTCCAGCGTAGCATTTATAAATTTTATAATAAATGATCTCCAGCCTGACTATATTTATAAATATCTGTTTTGCAAGTAACATTTATAAGTTTTCATAGATTATGCTTCCCAAGAACATGTAATTGCATCACGTTATAAAGTTTATACTGGCTATGAACTAATTCAGCTCAGATGAACCACTTAATCAATAAAATTTATGATCGAAGAAGCCTCCAAATTTCTCCAAGCTTCCAGATTTCAACAGTCTCTTCTGAAATATCATTAAAAAACAATCCAACATTTACAACCAGCAGCTCTCTATGATGCATTGGCACGGACACGATGAAATAGACACGACACGGACACGAACACGAGACAACTATCATTTAAAATATAGAACATGGGTACGGTGTAGACATGCATTATAATTTTTAAATAGTATATAGAAATTAATATATCATATTAGAAATGAGTCATTGAGGAACATAACAGTAAAATAATAAATGCCACCAACTTAGCATGCAATAAGGCATACAACACTTCAAATATCACAAAAATTAGTGAGCAAATTATATTTAAAAAATAAAATTTTATGTGCTTGTAACAATGTTGCTTATTATGCATTTAGGCACACAATTATTGAGAGATTTAGTATCATTGTTTATGCAAGCTTCAAGGTAAGTCATGCATAGATTACTAAAGTTAGCAAACAAAATTAAAACAAATTTTTGAAAGGGTTCAAAACCATACTATTAAACATAAACTTTAACATTAAAATGATAGAGAATAATAGTCCAATTGTTTAGAGTTTAACATTACAATGATTCATGAAAAAAGATAATGCTAATATCATAAAAAAATTCATGAAAATTGACTTAAAGTTTTTCAAACAAATCGATATAAAAAATATTATGTTTTGATGAAGATGGTTCCACAAGAACACGCAAACTCACGTAAACGAAAAAGACGAAGACGCAGGGACAAATTTTACCTTGAGAAGATGGTTCCACAAGAAGACGAAGATGCAAACTCTGTCGACATCTCATGCTTGCGTAACCGAAGAATCCGTCTGTCATTCGGCTCGCCTGCTCGCGTAAACCACGAAGACGCAAACACTTGTTGCTGCCCGCGGAAACAAAGACGTAAAACTCGCCTGCTAGCGTAAATGAAAACCTCGCTTGCAGACTCGAATACGAAAGGATACGGGATAAAACCTAACGTGTGGTCCAACTTGTTAAAAGATTTTTTTTTTTTAATTAAATGTTATTGAAATTTAATATTATTTTAATCAAACACATTTCGACCATGTTTGACACATGTCCCTGCCATGTTGAACGCGTGTCCGTGTCTGACAAGTGTCCGACTGATGGGGACATCAGCTCGTGGAAGGTTTGTCAGAGGCGTGGCCGCCGATCTACGGCCACTATTGAGTCTTTATATTTCTGAGTCATTTATACATTTTATTATTTATGTATTTTCTATTTTTCTAGGTGTCATTATATTGTTCCGTTTGTACCCATTTAATTGGAATTGTCGTATGTAAGCCCAAAGGGCAAGTTGGTCTTTTCTTTTTGAGTCCATTGTACTTGGCTATATATAGCCCCTTGCTTATTATTTTTAATTAATGAATGATATTATGAAAATTTTCCTGCAATCCTGTGTTTGTGTGAGAGCGTGAGAGCTTTGGAGAGAATTCCCTAGGGAGAGACGTCGGATCACACACCAATCTTGGAGACGGTCGGGTTCGTGGTTTTCTTTGTTGTTTTTCTTTCATCCTTTCTCCCTCCCCTCCATTATTCATCTTCTCGCATCCCAATCCTCCATTAGCCACCAACCAACACCTTATCCAATCCTAGCCCTCAATTTTTCCCCTTCACCCCACCGGCCACCTCACCCGACCTCCCCATACCGCCGGCCATAATCCCATAGCCGACGACCACCTCCCCACCCCCTTACCCCTTGAGGTTTCCTAACTAGGTTGAAGACTACCTTGGAAATTAATTGAAATTCAAATTCAATCAAATTTGAATTCAAAATCTTTCCTAATTTAAGTCATCTATTTTAGGTAAGTTTTAATTCATATCTATTTTGAAATTCAAATTTAATTTGGATTTGATCAAATACTTTTCTAAAGCCTAAAACCAAATTAGGAGACCATAAATCCCCCATTAATTGCCTCCCTTAACCCTCATTGCTGCCGGCCCCTATAGGGACTAATTAGGAGTTATTTCCTATTTCCCCAACCTCTTCTATTGGAAGCAATTTCAAACCCCCTCACCTCTCTTGACCGAAACTTTCCCAAATCCCCAAGCTCTAAATTATTTCCTAAAACCATAGATTGGAATTAGGAAATAAGATCCCCCCAATCCCTCTCAATCCCGCCGGCCTCCTCTCTCCCAACAGCCTCTCCCCTCCCTCTCTCAAATCACCTCTCTACCTTTAATTCCCCATTGGACTTGAGACCATAACTCTTCCTCCTTCAAGCCCCTTTCCTCTAAAAACAGAAAACTAAAATTCTGATGCAGGACTACGTAAATGGAATGATTATGAGTTCATTTGGATATTGCACAACTCGTGATTAGAACAATACTAGAATAAGATTACTAGTAATTTAAAGCGATGAATAAAAACAAGTAGGAGTTATCTGCTTAGGCTAAATCACATGGTGAGAGCTTTGAAAACTTCAAGATAAATAAGAAAACAATATGAGAGAGGGAGGAGAGGCGGTTGGGAGGGAGGAGGTGGCGGGATTGAGAGGAAGTGGGGAATTTTATTTCCTAATTCCAATTTCTGGTTTTAGGAAATAATTTAGAGCTTAGGGCTTGGGAAAATTTCGGTCAAGAGGAAATATGGGGAGTTTGAAATATTTCCAAAAGAGAGGACTAGCTTAAGGAAATAATTGATTGGGCATTGATGGGCCAAGGGAGGGGGGGGCTGGCGGCATTATCATGGAGATAGGGATTTGGGTGCCATGTGTACAAGCTTGCCTAAAATAATTTTGAACTTAGGAAAGTATTTAATTAACTCTATCTCAATTTGAATTCAAATATTGTTAAGTTTAGAAACTTTCCTAAAATAGATAGACTAATTTAGAAAAGATTTTAAAATTCAAAATGTTTGAATTTGAATCTCAAATCAGCTCCGAATTTTGTTAATCCAAATAGGCAAGTAGATTAAGGGGGAAGAGGGGTCGGTGGCAAGGTGATGGGGCCGGCGGCAATGGGCACGGGTGGGGATTTTGGTCGGGTGTGGTTAGGAGGTAAGAGAAAAGGGTTCGGCTAGGTGCGTGGGTTTAGTGGCTTTGTGAATTAGGATTGAAGGATGAAGAAAGAAAAGGGTATGAGGATGGAAATCACGAACCCGGCTTACCTAGGTTGGTGGGTATTGCACGATCCTTCCTCTCCTAGGAAGCTCTCTCCATTAGAACTCTCAAGCTCTCTCAACTCTCATGCAAGAAGAAATTTTAATAAGCAATCATTCATTACTTGAAACAATAAGCAAAGGATTATATATAGCCAAGTACAATGGACTCAAAGACTAAAAGACTCAATTGCCCTTTGGGCTCATACACGACACATCCCATCAAAGGGGTACAAACGGGAAGACCAAAAATAACAATAAGCAAATAACACATACATAAATAATGAAATAACAAAAGGACTAAAAAATACAATGACTCGATCATGGCCGTAGATCAGCGACCACGTCTCTGATAAACCTTCCACGATCTGATGTCCCCATCAAATTCCTCTCAGATTTCTGGGTTAAACCTGAAACTATTTCAGATTTTTGGAAGGAACTATTTCAGATTTTGAAGGACACTTGGAGCTTGCTTCCTCTCCACTTGCAAGAGAAACTTCTTTCTCTTTGCTACCACTCGAGAGGCGTATCAAGTGCTAAGGAGATTTTACCTTCAATCATCCATGAATGGCGGATCCGGCAACTGATTACGACATAACTTGGGACAAAGACGGCTTCACCGACATCCTATGATCAACCTTCTTCGACGTAAACCCGAGGATTGACCACACCGTCGAAGACTACTTGGAGCGAATTCTAGATACTTTGGTGAAAGCTATTGACGAGCACTTCGAAGGCATTGAGTGGAGGATCTTCACCACTCGACGAAGGTTTCTCTTCCTCTCTGCATCTTATATCTTTTAGTCTAACTTCTCTTGGCTTGATTACAGTCACGGCGGACCCCTCTTCATTGCTCATGCTAAAGCTTAGTAAACGTAGGGCTTGAGTGCACCTTTATGCTTCCTAATTCTCGTTGTTAGACTAGGGATTTCTTTGACCACTACTATTTGGCATTATATTATTTTCTGAATTTATTTTGACGGTTCCAAATCTCTTGCTACACAATTTAGCCTAAGTGGGTGTGACCCCTTATGGGTTTTGACTTGTCGTTTTAACTGCTAGAAGTTTTGTTCTTAATAATTCTAATCAAGAGTTGTGCTAAATCTAAATGAATTAAAACATTTCATACTTAGTTCTACATCACCGGCATTGCATACCTTAAGAAATTGAAGCGTCAGTGCATTATAGAAGCTATAATTAGCCATGCTAACAAATTTAATTTTATAGAGGCAAAATTAAGGAGTATATAAAAAAAGCTGTTCCAAGATGACCTTTAATGATATTCTTTAGAAAAAAAAAAAGTGTTAGGATATTCTAATACAATTTGTATTATGGTGAGTTTAAAAATTATTGGGTTTGTTTTAAGATTAGTGCTCTATATGAAGAGTTTGTTTTAAAATTCATTGGATTTGTAAAGATCTTCAAACATATTTTGTTACAGATTATATCATGATATCCTGTTACTTTCTATGTTCTTTCAATATATTACAATTTTTTTTCTGTTCAGATTATTAATTGATAAAATGATACAAAAAACATCACCATCATCATCATCATCATCATTAGCTTTATACTAACTATTTGGGGTTAGCTTACAAATCCTCATTTTTTATTCATCCTTGATATATGATGCATGAGGTGTTTAAGCTAATTTTTTGCAAAAATGTTTTGAGCAACTTCTATCGATGTTATCTTTGGTCAACCCTTCTTTCTAATTCTCTAGTATTCATTTTATCCACCTGTTGGAAGAGTGCACTTTCTACTTATTGATGCATATATCAGCATCATCTAAGTCTATTTTAAACTAGTTTATCTTCAATCGATATCCCAACCCTTCCTCTAACTTAATCCTAATTCTTCCACCATTCATCTTAAGATTAAGATCTATATAACATTACCAACTTAACTGTAAATTAATGAAATTTATTATACTTCAAATAAACTAAAGTTATGGTTAGTCTTTCAATAATCTCATAACTTCACGGATTTAAAATTTAATTTTTCAACTTAAGCGTCAACTACCAGAACAATAACTTAGGAATCAAATTTCTATTTTTTGAGGAATATGAGTGCCAAAGTACGAACCGAAGCATATTTCAATGAATAAATTATATAAGATCATGTTAAAATTAAGATAATGGAGTACCTAAAGAGAAGCACAATAACAGCAAGCACCATCATAGAGGATGAGTTTCCCACAGTAAGAAACACAGGAAGCGTTGTTGCACAAGGAGACAATGCAGGTACAAGAACAAGCCCAGCCACAGCCATTTTCTCCATAGGATGGTTGTGGGAGTGGCTATGACCACCCTTTCCAAATACAAATGCCAAGACATAACTACCTCCAAGAAGTATGAGCAGCAGAGAAGCAAGGCTATGAACAGTCTCCTCGCCAGCAATGGTGTTGGCCATTGTGACAGCAGTTATGCCAAGAAGTGATGTGGAAATGACATGCAAGACTGCTCCAAATGCAGCTATAACATGTTAAAAAAAATTATGAGCTTCTCAGTAAATAATGGTTGCAGAATGAATGGTACTTCTTAATCCGAGTAAGAATCTATCAATATAGATAACCAAATTATATTATAAATTAAAATATAGTGAACAAAACCTAGAAAAGAACAACATAATTCAGTAAATAATCACTTAACCAAAGAAGAAAATAAACAGAATAGTGTCAGCTAAAAATCAAACCTAGTTGTTGATATCAAAGAAACCATCTAACGGGACAAAACTAACATTTAAAATGTATGCTCAATATCAAGCACAAGAAATTGCACTAAGACCTGCATAAGTACATTGGACGGTGAAAAAGGATACGTCTAAATTATGCCTGCATAAACCAATTTCCAACCAAACCACAGATGAAGAGGACCAGCTTGAGTGCCTTCACATGTCTGTGTACAGGTTTGCTACTATAGCAATTTGACTACAGACTAAATGTTGATACAGGAGATACATCAAAACAATACCTAGGAGCATGTAGCAAAATAAACCCCACATTAAAAAAAAAATACAAGCTCCCATATGAAATAACTTAGGTTTCGTTTGGGACTACTTTCTTACTGCTTCTTAAACCAGCTTTCTTGTACAAAATTTTTAATTTTTATACTAAAAAACTGCTTTAAGAAGCATTAAAAAAGCCGCCCCAAACAAAGCCTTAATCTAACATATAGATGTTGTGACGGCAAATATCAGCATTATCAAACAGTAGCTCTATTTGTTAAAATAACAATAGCATTGGCTGTGAAAAAAGGGCAACATCAGCCAGCCTTTAAAAGAACTCGAATCCTGACACAAGCTCATGCCTCGGTTTTTCTATTCTTATAGCATACTTAGAAGACCATGCCAGCTTCGACTAGACCAAATTCTCTCTTCTCTACCGAATCGAGATTTGCTAAACAATATTAGAATCATGCTATATTGATCTCAATAAGAGCTACAAATCATTTAATAGAAATAATAATAATAAAAAACTTGCAGCAGCACACGGAAGAAAAAGGCAAGGGCATCAAATACTTGGTTTTTGATCATGCAGAAATCACAAACTTCAAGTCGCCAATTCCAGGTTCTACTGACAGATCAGTTTAGTGAAAATTTTAAAATCTTTGCGGTGCTCAGATACCAATCCGATCCAGTACAGCGAACTACTTGTCTTCCATATATAAAATAATTTTAAAAAAAAGCAGCTAGATGCGGAAGACTCACTGACGAGGAGAGTTTTTGCTAGGGTCCATTTCTGCGCTCGCCCGACAATGGAGAAGGGTAGCCAGTGCGTGGGAATGAAGGAATGAAGCAGGGAAACTGTAGCAATTCCTCCAATCTTAGATAGATCCTCCGGATTAATAGCCTCCATTGCTATACGCTACTCCAGATCCACAGATCGATGAGCGAGGAACCACAGATCTTCAGGAAAGTAAGACCGCTGAGATCTAATTCCCGCGCATCATAACTGCTAATCTGCTGCTTTAATTCGTTAGAAATATGAGATTTTCTATGGGGTAAAAAAAAAAACAAAAAGAAGAGGACGGAGGGCGGAACTGAGAAGAAGCGGAAAAATGGGACTGCGCTTTTCCCTCAGCGTGCTTTAGGAACCACCTGATTTACGCGTCATAATTCTCTCCGAATGCAAATTTCTGAGAATATAGGTAAATATGGTTACATTTAATTGGAGAAAATTTTAATAATAGAATTTCTAATAAAAAATAAAAAAGAATGAATTATAAAAAATCATAGATGACATATAATAAGAAAAAATATATAAAAAAATTGCATCATGTATTTCATTTTTATTAGAGCCTGTTCAGGTCATTTTCTAATGTCAAGCCAGTTTTGAGAATTGTCCAAATTGAAGTAAGATGATAATTTGTCTGTCGCAGATTTGTAAAATTTGGAAATTTTTTGAATTTTCTGATTAAATTTATATTTCTGTTACAAAAAAAAAATGAGGATAATTTTGCATTGATAAAACTTTTACTGTGTAACTTTCTATATATTTTAAAGACACCAGTCATGAACATTTAGAGATTTTCTAAAAAAAATTGCACTCGGTATTTTGAAATGTGCCCCTTTTTATTTGTTTAAAACATTTATTGGAATATGAAAATAAGGATGTAGTACAATTAAAGTCTTAAAATAGTATATTCTTTTATCTATCATTATAGCACTTTGTGAAATTTTGAAATGAGCTCATTTGTATTTTATTTACGACATTGCAATGAATTATATGCTTATTTAATTAAATGATGTGACTTTGAGGAGCTCTAGAAGTGAATGGTGGAAGGTTTAATGACTAATTTTTATTGCTCTATCTATAACTATGCATTGTAGTTATATATGCATTTTTATGATAAATAAAAAGAGGATTTTTGTAGATGAGTTTCTTCTTAGTACTTTAAATATTATTAATAGCTTTGTTCTTATTGTTATAAGTTTAAAATTTTGAATGAAGATTCTTAAAAAATTCTTAAAACTTAGACAAAACAAACATCTTATTCTCAAATAATTATCATCTTCTTCAACTGTGAGAAAGGAAAATTTTTTGTATCTTCAAATATATAATGAATTTTCCATATAGGCCAGGCTCCGTGATTTTCCCTTTATGAATTTTTCATGTACAAATTTTCTATTCTCACTACTAAAAGTGTTGAATTTTTAAAAACATAAAACACTCTCCTTAAGTTTTCTATCACAACAATAACAAAATATTTTTATTTATAATAATACACATCAAAAAATTTAATTGTTTACAAGATTATCAATTTGAATTCTCAATTATTTATTAAACCATCTAATACATTGATAGAAATAATTAAGATAATTAATTTTTAATTGAATTATAAAGGTCTAATTTGAGTTAAAAATGCTTAAACATTAAAGTTTCATGTGCTTCAATAATTTCCCTCATGTGATTTTTTGTATTTCTATGCCAACATAGAAAATAGAATGTAGAATGAATGTATTAGAGAAAAATTAATCATTATTTTTAATTTTTTTTAATAATATTGTTATTTATTACGTCATCCGGTTCGACCCCGGTTCGACCGGTCGAACCGGTCGAACCGTGAACCTCTCCTTCCTCCGGTTCGTTGTCCGGTCCGGTTCTGAAAACCTTGATCATTATAGCACTTTGTGAAATTTTGAAATGAGCTCATTTGTATTTTATTTATTGCGTTGCAATGAATTATATTCTTATTTAATTCAATGACGTGATTTTGAGGAGCTATAGAAGTGAATGGTGGAAGTTCTGTTCTGATGCTAAATGTACATTTTGATACCCAATGCTATATTATGTGCCAAGGGTACATTCTAATGTTATAGGCACATTTTGTTATAAGAATCTCTAATTTTGTTTATCAAGAGGCATAAGGAGTTAGAATCTTTGGATTCTGCCTGAGATAGGGTGGGTGGCATTAGGGGCCAAAAGTTTTTAAAATTATGTCTGATATGGAGTATTAATTAATTAATTTATTTCTCAGCATTATTATTTAAATTTCTGATGACTATAGTTACAATTATGCTCAACAATATGATGCATTATGTTTCATTAAAATTAAAATAATTTAATATTGGAATTATTTGGAAGTTTAGATTGAAAAAAATGTTATCTACTATGTTGTGCTAGCTTATTATGATCCCACCTTTTTTCAGGATCTAATAGTGAGAAAGGGTTTGATGTGTAGTAGTTTCAAAATATGATCTTGGTCTATAAGGTATTTCTTCATTTGAATTTTTCTACAGTCATGACTAATTTTTATATTGCTATGTGTAGCTATGCATTGTAGTTATATATGCATTTTTATGATAAATAAAAAGAGGATTTTTGTAGATGAGATTCTTCTTAGTACTTTAAATATTATTAGTAGCTTTGTTTTTATTGTTATAAGCAACGTTTTGAAAACCGGACCGAACAACGGATCGGAAGAAGGAGAGGTTCATGATTTAACCGGTTGAACCGGAGTCAAACCGGATGACGTAATAAATAATAATATTATTAAAAATTATAAAATGAATGAAAAAATATACTAATCAAATGGCTAATAGAGACAAACAAACTGCTTTATATACTAATCAAAAGCTTGGGCTTACTAGTCTTTATATTAAATTAAACAATAACTATGTAGTGTATATGCTCTGTTTGTAAAGCTTGGGCTTACAAGTAAAATAAACAGTAACCCAAGACAAAAAAACTCAACAGATTAACTATGCATTCATAAGAAAAAAAAAAAAAAAAAAATCTTTTCACTCATAAGTCATAACAGTAATGAAATTAAGAAAAAGCGTAGTTGGAATGTTAGGGCTGAGGAAGATACCTAATTTTCTATGAATCGATGCCTGAAATGAATCTTTGACAGCTTCACCTGTGGATCTGTTGAAGAAAAACTCCCGGTTAGCATTATAAGTTTATACCCTGCTGCATGCACTCATATATTCAGGAGTTTGCTGTCAATCCAGTAGAGGATTTATCAAAGAAATTTTTGGTTTTCAGTTTGCACAGGTAAGAATAAAACACAGGTTCAATTCAACGCATACAATCTCCTCACCTTGCAATGATTCAAGCACCGATGAAGGAGGAGGTGCAGCGAGCCAGTGACGATTAAGAACTGGAGGAGGCCGTTCAGTTCGTCAATGATCCAAGCACAGATGGAGTAGCTGCAGCGACGAATGGGGGCACAAGGAAGAAAATCGGAGACGGCGACTTCGAGAGTTACGGGGAGATAGAAAATGAAAGGGCTAGGTTAACCTTTTACTTTTACATGTTTTACTATACTTAAAATACCGCATTATTTAAATCAGACGGTGAAAATCGCGTGTAACCTTAAGTAGCAGGTTCTCTCCCGGTTTCCGGTTCGCCGGTTTTGCGGTCCAACCGTCGGTCGAACCGGTTCAACTCCGGTTCTTTGATTACCCGATTTCATTAGACAACCGAACCGGCCGGCCGGTCGGGTACCGATTCAACCGGTTTAACCAGCCGGTCCGGTCCGGTTTTCAAAACGTTGGTTATAAGTTTAAAATTTTGAATGAAGATTCTTAAAAAATTCTTAAAACTTAGATAAAACAGACATCTTATTGTCAAATAATTATCATCTTCTTCAACTATGAGGAAGGGAAAATTTTTGTATTTTCAAATATATAATGAATTTTCCATACAGGCCAGGCTCCGTGATTTTCCCTTTCTGAATTTTTTATGTACAAATTTTCTATTCTCACTACTAAAAGTGCTGAATTTTTAAACAATGGTGAAACATAAAACACTCTCCTTAAGTTTTCTATCACAACAATAACAAAATATTTTTATTTATAATAATACACATAAAAAAGTTTAATTGTTTACAAGATTATCAATTTGAATTCTCAATTATTTATTAAACCATCTAATACATTGATAGAAATAATTAAAATTAAAAAAAAATTTATATTAAAAACAGCTTCATAAAATAATAAGAAAATTTTCCCAAATGAAACCGAATAATTAATAATGAAGAACCAAACATATATAAGAATAAAAAAGAGAGACTACTTCAAATCGTCTTTCTACTCTCGGCAACATTTCTTCAGAATAAGAATCTAAATGATCATGTTGTTGCATGCCAGTTTTTGGCTTCAATCCTGCAAATAAGGGTTAAAAGTTAACACAATAATTTAGCTATTAGAATTTAGGAACTATTTAGTACTTGAATTAACACAAATGAAAGATAATTTTCAGCTATAATAAATCATGGCCAAATTCTGCTGATCTTCCCCACTTTGCAATCGCGAGAGAGGATAAAAATGAAGCATTCTCCTTCAGTAAAATCTTAAATTTTTACTATTTCAGTCTAGCAGCTATGTCTGGCATTGGATTTCAATTTGTTGTGAACAAAAAGAAAATACACCTGGAGGTTGCTACAGGCGGTTGGAATCTACTTCAAACGAGAAAAAACTATATGCAGAAGTGTATAACATTAGGCTATACTGTTAATTGCTAAAAACGCTTACTTTTGAAGAGTAATTTGAAGGTTTCTTGTAACCAGATGAAGACTTCGTTTTGGACAATTTTTTGCTACTTCATAAAACTGTTTTTTAGTACAAAAAATTCTAATTCAATACATTAATGTACTAGAAAGTCATTTTAAAAAGCAACAAAGAAGCTGTCCCAAATGAAGTTGAAATCTGCTCAAGTTCAGAAAAAGAGAAATGTAATGGTTGAAGCTTCTTACCTCAAGAACTCTGCTCCAAATGCTGAGCTCCAATCATTGACCGGCAACCACTTTCAATGTCAGCAGCTTTCTGGGCTGCGTTCCGATAATTAAAATAGATAAACTGAATAAGAATCTAGAAACGTGGTCAAGTGTCTAACATCCATACAAGTCCAAGCGAGCAGAAAAGGTAGCATGCACGCTGGTCTACAATGGAGTATGCATATATGTCATCATCATTAATGTTGTCATTATCATCATCTTTTGCTTAACTACAACTATTTTGGGGTCCTGTCACTAATCGGCTATCTGGTTTAGTTATTTGAAATGCAATGTGAAGTAAACTCAAGCAAGGTAAATGGATCAATTTTGCTACATTTATATTACTTTTTGTAATGAAATGAACTTATATTGAATAATAATTTCAGCAATTTTACCCATTAATAAACTGTTCCATCCGGTCCACACGAGACCAGCGCAAGCGAAACAGAGGCGAAGTTCCGCCACTCCTGTCCGCGCAGAACTAGCCACCGATTCCAGAAAAGCTGTTTAGAAAAGATTTTTTAGGGAGTTTGGAGGGAAATTTGAATGTAGGGACTGTTTAGAGATGTTCTTTTGGATTGTATTCATTAAATAGTTTGTTTTCCTAGGGTTAGGGCATCTTGAATTTGGCTGAAATTTGAGATCTCTTAGGTTTCTTTTGTGCTCTAGCGGCGTCTAGAGATTTGGGAGAGATAGATCCGTCTCTCGAATAGAGGATCAGTTGTATCTTGTTATTTTCTGCCATTAGTTTGTGTTCTTGCAATAAACTTCATGTTTTTCTTTGATTTTTTGTTAGATTTGAGGAAATTTCTCGTTGTTTTTCGAAATTGATAGGATTTACCTGAAATCTTAAAGTGTTTCTTATCATAAACATGAAAAAATTTAAGTTTACCAACAAGTGCTTTACATAAACAGTCACCATGGTATCTACACATGCACCAATATATACTATGTGTGCAGTTGAATGAATAATTAGCTCATGCTGTATTTCTCATATCATGTCTAAGCATCACTAGCTGTTAATAGGAAGAACGAAAAAGGATACAAAAGCATCAAGGAGCACGCATCCGCCAGCATCAACTAGCCACGGAAGGTTGGGTTTGATTTTGGACCATTCTAAGCTGTTTACAAGTAATACTGAATAGACAAAATTTGAGAAAATTAGTTTGAATGCAAGAACTTCAATGATGAAAGAAATCATACAATATCAGATACCTCCCAACATATGTTGAATTTCCCACAAGAGCGAATATAAACATAAAGAGACTTAACCCCTGAAAACAAAATAATTGATCAAAACAGCCTAAAGAATAAACAAGTCATATTTATTTAAAAAAAATCTCACTTAGGCTTTGTTTGAGACTGCTTTCTTATTGCTTCTTAAAACAGCTTCCTAGTAGAAAAATTAAAATTTTTGTATCAGGATGCTACTTTTAAGAAGCAGAAAGAATGCCGTCCCAAACGAAGCCTTAATCTTGTTGTTATACTGCAGTAAAGTCAAGATATTTCAATAAACAATAAATCCAAATGAGACTGTGCAACACAAGACCAAGAAATGCGGAATTATGCAAGAACTGAAAGGAGTTGCTTGTGGCAACTGAATGTATCTTCTGATCTCAAAATTACAAAGAGCGTAATCAGTTGCTGCTAGATGGTCACTGAGAAAAAGACGAGGGAGGAAGAAACACTTGCCTCGACATTTCCTCGTTTAATCTGCAAAACATCAGAAGTCAAGAATTCGTGAGTCATACAATCCCACAAATTTTACTTCAGAGATATAAATTTGAAAGGATTCTGACAACTAACTTGAAGGCTTCACAAAATCCTTAAATAACCAGATTCCCCGTATAAATTTATCTTCAATCAGTTCCACTTAACCGATTCTACAACCCCAAAGGATAAAAGAAAACTACGAGACAAAAAACAGTTTATCAGGTGTCATAATCTCACATTCAACCAGATTTGAGGAAGTCTGCCACCCATTTAAATGCCTGCCATTGCCCAGCCTAAAAAACTTCCTATTCCACCGCTTCCAACATGTTCGCCATGAAATGATTCCAATGCCTCGTGCTGTGGGAGAAAACATAACAATCAAATATCCATCTCTACTATAATGTGTGAAGAAAATGAGATAAAGAAACAAAAATGGGTACAATATTTCGATCAATTGATTCCATAGCAAAAAATTTGTTACATAGGCTTCGTTTGGGACGGCTTTTTTCCTGCTTCTTAAAGCAACTTTTTAATACAAAAGTTAAAATTTTTATACTAAAAAACTGTTTTAAGAAGCAGCAAAAAAGCCATCCCAAATGAAGCCATAATCTCAATTTATGCTAACCTGCAAAAGCTTTCTACCAACTGGAATCAGGTTTGCATCAAATACACCATTCACCGGAAGTTGTAGAACATATAATCCAACAAAAGAAGCAGCTGAAGAGACCTGAGAATTATAAAAGTAAACAAAAGAAACAAAAAACTCCCAATACCTAACTACTAAGTAAATGACCAGCAAGAGCGCACTACACAACGCGTGTTTTTAATGCCCAAAGGTCTTGCAGCATGTGAAGAAGACAGACTGCCAAGCAAGGGTACTAATGATGAGTCCCCGTCTTCAGTGAGAAGAGGCATTTCACTTGATGTTCTGCATGGATGTTGAATATTTGCAGCACATGAGCCTATAGTAGACATTGGACTTGTTGATAAAGATCTCGCTGACCTTAAAAAGTTTGTAACAATCATTAGAACAGATTAGTGAGATTCGCAGGTGCTAGCTAGTTTAATTGATAAATATTTTAGAAGCTATTGTCAAGATTCTAAAATTGAATCTCTCTTACAAAAAATTTGAATGAATCCAAAGCAAATGCTAGAAATGGAGGCGTCAAATGGATGGATCTAAGTGTCGTGAACAACTAGTAGGGAAGATAAGGGAGTGAGATGCTGCTGCTTGGAGTGGTTTGGAGGATCCGTCCGGTCAGGCCGTGTGTTTGATCAGAAGTCACTATTGTGAGGGCCGGTCGGCTGTATGAATGGGACAGGGCTTGGAGAGATTGACTGCTACAGGCTTGGATGCATTCGTGTGTGGCTGGGGGAGGAAACGGGTGTAAATTGACGGTTTGGTCGAACGGGTTATGAGCTGGTCGATCAAGAGCTGCAGGAGTTTAATCGGAGGTGAAGGTTTTGGCCGGCTGCAGGATTTGTGAACGGGAGTGTGAGGAAGAAGGAAAACAAGACGTTCTTTTTTTGTTCGTGGCAAAGCGAAATGTCATCTGGCTTGTTTTAACGATGAGGCACTGCATTCAAACAAGGTAACCTGCGATCAAGGTGACTTATTTACGCGAGGAGACTTCAGCAGCCGGGATTTATGGGATTTAGACAGCATTTAGAGCAGAATATCCGAGGTAAGAATTAAATTTGAGTTGATTTTGATTTGCAATTTCATTGTCAATTTCACCTTTTTTTGTGTTTTTGCATATAGGGGTCAACAAATATGAATATACATAACCAATGCAATCAAATAAAACGCATATACATAACCAAGGCACTTACATTTACACCCAAAGCTAGTCATTTTCCAGTTTTTCTAATTAGAAACAGCATAGATTTAATAACATTAAGATTTTGTAATAGCACCTGCTGCTTTAAATATGTACACAAACTGTATTAAATACGCCAAATATGTCTAAATTTTCCATTATGTTTGACGTTCAGGTAAAAAAAATTGTTTAATAATGAACTAATACAGTTCAATAAATACATTGCTAATGTGTAAAGCAGTGAGAAAAAACTAAAGTGTTAGAGATAAAGAGAAAAAGTGGTAAAACACAATGAGTAGCTTCAAGGTTGGTTGACAGTTTCTTGCCATAGTTCTTGTCAACAGAGGCACTGTTGACTTCATAGAAATATAAATCTAAATATTTTTTTCCAACTAGAAGTTAAATTGTAGAGAAATGTCATTTCAACTAATTACAGTTACTAATACTATCGAAATTTTATAAATTTTTTTCGAGAAAATCACTATCAATATCAACGTGTTCAGAATTTCAAAAAACATTTTCATTATCAAACTTTTGTGTGAGAGTCTAAGCATGATCTATGGTAGCAACAATACTTATGAACATCAAATTAAGCTTATCTTCAAGTTTGGAATCAATATCACAATATATAATTTTTTTAGTATTTGACATAACCTACAAAAAAAATTCAGTTTAAAGAACTAAAATGTATAATATGAATGTTAAAAGAGCCAAATATATGAACATTAATAAAATAAATATTCACCTCTAATTTTTCTTTCTGCCATTGATTAGATGCATCAATGATTTTTCTTTTAGTATCTCAACCCAATCCAATAGACACACGCTTAAGTTCCTTTTATAATTTCTAAACTTTCTTTAATTATTCTCATTTATTTTTTAGCTGAACTTTATTATATTCTTTTCGAGTTTTATTAGAATTTTTTTTTATTAAATTTGTCCAACCTTATTTATTTAAGTGTATAAACAGTTGATTGTCAAGTTCAATATTTCTCAAACATAAATTTTTTAGTTTACCCATTTAATATCTCAATTTTTTTATTTATACTTGAGAGAGATTGAACTTGGCAATCAACCGACTACACACTTCAATAAAGAGATTTGAACAAATTTAATAAAAAATTTTTCTAATAAAACTCGAAGAAAATATGATAAAGTTCAGCTAAAAATTAAATTGGACCAATGAAAAGAGTTTGGAAATTATAAAAGGAACTAAAGCATGGGTCTACTAAATTGGGTTGGGATACTAGAAGAAAAATTATTGATGCATTTCATTAATGATAGAAAGAAAAATTAGAGGAGAATATTGATTTTATACATGTTCATATATTTGGCTCTTTCAATCTTTATATTATATATTTTAGTTTTATAAATTAAATTTTTCTTTATATATTGTGTTAAATGCTAAAAAAAATTAGATATTGTGGCATTAATCCCGAACTTGAAGATAAGCTTGATTTGATGTTCATAAATGTTATTGCTAATGTAGATAATGCTTGAACTCCCAACCAAAGACTTGATCACGAAAATATTTTTAGAAATTTTGAACAGCTTTTTTATCACGAAAATATCAAGAGACTCCCAACCAAAGACTTGATAACAAAGAAAATATTCATGGATTAAAATTTCTTTTACTATCCAAATAAATGGCAGCTTACTTCACGTAGAAGATTAATACTAATTATGCCAATGAAAAATAATTGATTTTGAGCCTTAAACTATAATGTACATATAATACATTTTTAACTCAAATACCTTGATTGTTCAATCAGCTTGTTAACCTTCAGCAATCTGCTGACATTGTAAACTCGAAGAAAACAAATAAGCTAATAGATTTTAAATAATTCAAATATAAAAAATATATTTTAATGAAATTGAAGTTGCTAAATTTTGAAAAAAAAATTGATTTTCCAATGATTAATTTAAAGTAAAGTATACTCAATTTTTTATTAATATCTTTTTTCAAATTCTTTACAAAATTTGTTCATTGGTTAAAGTACAAGTTATTAATTGACCGCCTGAACAATTAGGCATCCAATCATTATTATAAAAAGCTATCAAATCTAAATTTGAAATTCTAAAGCAGAAATATTTCAATCAGTCATGTTTAACAATAATAAAAAAATAACTGCAAATTAAACTCTTATCTTATATAAGTTTGTTGATCAACTAGCTATATCATCTTAGATGATTCTTAATCTAGTTGGTGTCTCAAATAATACAACCAAAATTAAACCATCAGGGTGAGTTCTACGAAATTTTAATATCAAATCTCATTAATATTAAATTAAGAAATAGATCCTCATATTGAATAAATGCACATTTTGATAAGTCTCACTTAGTTCATATTGTTTCTGCCAAATTTTAGTAGAGTTTCATAGCTAAAAATTAAGTTCATACAATCTAATCATTAATTTATATCAGTTGTATCTTTTAGTATGTAGTTTAAGACTACAAGTGAACTCAAGCTTGAAAAGTCATTCAAGAACTTACATAAAGCTCGCATAAATAGAAAAACTCCACCCTTATCTGCTACAATAAAAGGGTCAGATTATTAACATAAAAATTGATGAATCACTTTATCTTGTTTAAGCTTGCTTTGTCACTTTTGTTAACAACGTTGAGCTGACTCTTTTATAATCCGCATGCTAAAAAAAATTCTTCCACTAAAGGTTATGCATCGGGTGGATAAGTATTCTACAATCATAATATTCCTAACCAAGGGCATCTATTTTTTCACTAAATAGACATCATCATCATCATCACATGAACAATCAGGCCTTGATTCTTAATCAAACCATAAATTACATAAATAATTATTAAAAAGAAAGTTTGAACATATGTTTAAACTAAATCTAAATTTACATGTTAATCACTCCTTAATTGAATAAAAGTCAAACCAAATTTAAATGACATGGAGATTGATTCAAAAGAGAACAAACTTAAATCAAAACTTATTAAAATAAAAGACTTCTCAAACACAAACCTTAATTTACTAAATTCTCTCATAAAAAATTACACTCCTAATTTAAAACACTTCTAAACCTGGTGGCACAACGCCACGAATAGATTCATTGGAGTGTTAAAACCTTAAAATCAATTGATTGCTAATGATTTAACCAAATAAAATCTTTAATTCAACTATATCAACTTAGTTTTTAGGATAGGCTATTCCGGACTGCGGGGCTACGTGTCCTAAGAAGGTCTAGTTCCTCGAATCTAGTGGGACAATGCCACGGACCAGTTGATAGCAAACTTAATTAATTTAACCCCTTAATCAATAATAAATTCCTAACTCACCTTTCTTTTAATTTCTAATAACTAAATTAACTTAACAAAATTAATTACAACTGGATAACCCAGGCCTATGAGACTATTAATTTAGCTCCAAGAAGGGAGAAATAAACCTCACGGCCTCGGTGAGCAACAAAGATACTAATCAATTAAATATTACAAATAAATTCTTAAAACCAATCTTAAAATACTAATAGTTAAACTTAAACTAAAATTTCTCTTTGACCTTTAACAAACCAAATTATAAATAACTCAAGCTAATCATCCTATATATGACATACCTAAAACCACACAGCATACTACACACACTTAGACTTATTTGTTAGGACAAAACTTCTAGTTCTAAGTTAGGCCAGTGTTTTTCTTTCTTTTTGTCTCTGTGATGTGGCGCTTTACATGTGAAAAATGTGTTGTTTGTTTTATTACTTGTGTTAGCTCTCTGCGATTAATATTTTCTTTCCATGATGTTGTGAGTGATAGACTATCCATAGGTTAGGAGCAATTTTGATATTTATGATATTTTCTGCAGGTGGTCGTGCTCATACAGTGCTAAAGTATTAGGAATCCAAATGAAAAAGAAAGTCCCTCTACGAGAAATTCCTTTCCATTTGGCGATCTATGAAGCAAGAGCTCAAGAGAAAATATCTCCCTCCCTCATACTACCCCGAGCTCTTAGATAGATGGAATAGGCTGGCCCAAGGGAGTAGACCTGTAAAAGAGTATATCTCCGCTTTTGATGACTAGATGATCTGTTGCGGCGGAGAAGAGACCACTACCCCTGCCCAAATCCTTTCTATGTTTAAAGCAAACATTAGGGAAGATCCAAAACAAACTTTTTGCTAGAGTTCACACTTTAGAAGCAGCCAACAGTTTAGTGCTTGACCTCGAAGAATCTATGAACCATTCCCATTCTAAACATCTAGATTCCCGTCCAACCCCATATAGAGCTTCATCCAGTCAACCCCAAAACTGACCCGCTGCCCCTATGATTAACCGACCGACTTCCAGTCAACCCCAACCTCGCACTGACTTGACCCATCATGTTGACGATGAAGAAGACTTCTTCTACGAAGAAAACCCAGTTGATCTGCAAGTCGTTAGATGTGCGTTGTCCCAACTCAAACTCAGTGACGATTGGCGAAGGACTTCAATTTTCCACACCTTTACTAAAATCGGAGACAAGAACTGCAAAGTCATCATCGACAGTGGAAGATGTATCAACGTTGCCTCTTTAGCCATGATATCTAAACTTAACTTAAAAATGGCACCCCACCCAAACCCGTATAAGCTCACATGGATTAACTCAACTACCATAGAAGTAAAGAATAAGAGCCATATTCCTATAAGAATTTGTTGGATATCAAGAGAAGATTTGGTGCGATGTTTTGACTAAGGATGTGGGGCAGATTATCCTTGGTCGCCCGTGGTTATTTAACAACGATGTCCATATTTATAGGAGGACAAACACCTGCGTGTTTGAACATAACGGCAAGAAAATCAAGCATGTACCCTCCCAACTGAAACCCCATAAGACTGAAGTCAAACCTACTCCTGTTAAAACTAATAAAGAGTTGCACCTTTTGATTGCAAAAGAAGTAGAGGTTGAGTTTAACCAAGGAGCCCCCATGTACGCCCTAGTAGCCCGTGAAACAAATGAGGAACCAAGAGAGCCCATCCCGGAAGAGGTCCAACCACTCCTTGAGACCTTAGCTAATGTTTTTCCTGAGGATCTTTCAAACCAGTTACCCCCTCTGCGAGACATCCAACTCGCTCTAGACCTAGTACTCGGAGCTTCACTGCCCAACCTATCCCATTAACGTATGAACCCGGGGGAGGGAGCACCCCAAGTTAAAAGAGCAAGTTGATGACATGCTCCAAAGGGGATTTATCAAAGAAAGCTTAAGCCCCATGTGCTGTCACCGCACTTCTAACTCCCAAAAAGGATGGCTCCTGAAGGATGTGTTAATAGTCACACTATCAACATGATTATTGTGAAGTATCGCTTCCGCATTCCTCGCTTGGATGACATGTTGGACATGATGACAGGAGCAAC